TATTTTTTCCCAACAACTGGTATCAGAGCCAGATTGTTAATTCTGTAATTTTTTTTTGTGTGTGTTACTATTCCGTGAATAGTAAAAAAACGTGAATAGTGTCAATTTTGTCGGCGTTACAAAATTATCTACAGACGTGTTTTGAAACACGGTAGTTCACAAAAATTACGGAAACGATCCGGCGGAGAAGTCATATCAGATTTGAAGTGATGGCTGCAGACGAAGGAAAAATGAAAATGAAAAAGTTCGATGGTGCGGACTTTGGCTTCTGGAAGATGCAGATCGAGGATTATCTGTACCAGAAGAATATGTATCAACCACTCACGGGAAAGAAGCCAGAAGACATGAAGGAGGAAGAATGGAGTCTCCTTGACAGACAGGCCCTTGGAGCCATTCGGCTGACGTTATCCCGTAATGTTGCTTTTAACATTGCAAAAGAAAAGACGACAGCAGGCCTCATGAAGGCTCTTCCCAACATGTACGAGAAAACATCAGCCTCAAATAAAGTTCATTTGATGAGGCAATTGTTCAACCTACGGATGACCGAAGGTGTGCCGGTGGCACAACATCTCAATGAGCTCAACACAGTTACAACCCAGTTGAGTTCAGTTGAGATCGAGTTCGATGATGAAGTACGGGCTTTAATACTTTTGTCTTCCCTACCAGAAAGCTGGAATGCTACAGTCACAACTGTGAGTAGCTCATCGGGAAGCAATAAGTTGAGATTTGATGATGTCTAAAATTTGGTTCTCAGTGAAGAGATCCGACGGAGGGAGTCGGGTGAACCATCAACCTCTTCTGTATTGCATACAGAGTCGAGAGGAAGAAGTTTAACCAAATAAAGCAGACATATCAAATCAAAGGGAAGAAGATCCAGGTCCAGAAATTATCGTAGTTCCCAAAACTCGAAGTCGATCGAGTGCTGGAATTGTGGGAAGACCGGGCACTACAAAAACCAGTGCAGGAGTGCACCAAAGAACCATGAGGCAAAAGAAGAGGCAAATGTTGCTTCAGTCTCAGGAGGAGACACGCTGATATGTTCTTTGGAGAACAGAGAAGTGTCTTGGGTGTTAGACTCTGGAGCATCCTTTCATGCTACCTCACAGAAGGAACTATTCGAGAATTATGTTCCTGGAAATCTTGGTAAAGTTTACCTTGGTAATGAGCAATCATGTGAGGTTGTCGGGAAAAGGTGCAGTAAAAATCAAGTTGAACGGGTCTGTTTGGAAATTGAAAAATGTCAGACATATTCCCGACCTGACAAAGAATTTAATCTCCGTAGGCCAGCTAGCCAGTGAAGGCTACACGACAATCTTCCATGGCGATGATTGGAAGATTTCAAAGGGTGCGATGATAATTGCTCGAGGCAAAAAAAGTGGTACTCTTTACAAGACCAAAGGAGCGTGTCATTTGATTGCAGTTGCAACAAATGAAAGTCCCAATCTATGGCACCAAAGACTTGGGCATATGAGTAAAAAAGGGATGAAGATCATTCACTCAAAAGGAAAATTACCAGGCCTCCAGTCAATAGAAATTGACATGTGTGAAGGCTGTATACTTGGAAAGCAGAAGAGAGTCAGCTTTCAGACAAGTAGAAGAACCCCAAAGAAGGAGAAACTTGAGCTCGTCCACTCCGATGTTTGGGGTCCAACGACTGTCCCATCCGTTGGTGGGAAGCAATACTTCGTGACTTTTATCGATGATCATTCCAGAAAGGTATGGGTTTACTTTATGAAACACAAGTCAAAAGTATTTAAAGCTTTCAAGATTTGGAAAGTTATGGTGAAAATAAGACAGACTTGAAGATCAAGAAGCTCAGATCCGACAATGGTGGTGAATACGTAACAACCAGATTCAAGAAGTTTTGCTATGAGCACAGAATCAAAATGGAGAGAACCGTGCCTGGTACGCCTCAACACAATGGTGTAGCTGAGCGTATGAATCGAACATTGACTGAAAGAGCCAGAAGCTTGCGTGTGCAGTCAGGCCTACCAAAACAGTGCTGGGCAGAAGCAGTCAACACAGCAACTTACTTGATCAACCGAAGTCCATCGGTACCATTGGATCACAAGTTACTAGAAGAGGTATGGAGCGGAAAAGAAGTAAAACTCTCACATCTCAGAGTTTTTGGGTGTGTAACATACGTGCACATCAGTGATCAAGGTAGAAACAAACTTGATCCAAAATCAAAGAAATGTACTTTCCTTGGTTATGGTGAAGATGAGTTTGGCTACCGTTTATGGGATGATGAAACCAAAAAGATGATCCGCAGCAGAGATGTCATCTTTAATGAAAGAGTGATGTACAAGGACCGACATAACACAAGTGCCAGCAACTCAGAAGCGAGTGGGCCAGTTTATGCAGAGGTGGAAAATATCCCAGACATTCCTGTAATAAGGAATCCTCGGTCAGAGGAATCAAATGAAGAAAGCGGTGAGCAATCAGAACCTTCTACTCCAACTTATGTATTGAGAAGGTCCTCTCGGCCCCATGTACCTAACAGGAGATACATGGACTACATGTTGTTGACCGATGGAGGAGAACCTGAAGATTATAAGGAGGCTTGTCAAACCCCGGATGCTAGCAAGTGGGAGCTTGCCATGAAGGACGAGATGAAGTCTTTGATCTCAAATCAGACATGGGAACTAGTCAAGTTACCCGTGGGAAAGAAAGCACTTCACAACAAATGGGTGTATCGGGTGAAAGAAGACCATGATGGTTCCAGGAGATACAAAGCCCGACTGGTTGTCAAAGGATTTCAGCAGAAAGAAGGAATTGACTATACTGAAATAATTGCTCCAGTTGTAAAGCTCAATACTATCAGGACTGTGTTAAGTATTGTGGCTAGTGAAGAGCTCTACCTAGAGCAATTAGACGTGAAGACTGCATTTCTTCACGGAGACCTAGATGAGGAGATCTATATGCACCAGCCTGAAGATTTTTCAGACGAAAAGAAGGATATGGTGTGCAAATTGAAGAAGAGCTTGTACGGCCTGAAACAAGCTCCAAGACAATGGTATATGAAGTTTGAAAGCTTCATGCACAAGGAAGGTTTCCAGAAGTGCAATGCTGATCACTGTTGTTTCTTCAAGAAATATGAGTCCAGCTATATCATATTGCTACTTTATGTCGATGACATGTTAGTAGCGGGATCAGATATGAAAGACATCAAAAAATTAAAGATGCAGTTGTCAAAAGAATTTGACATGAAGGACTTAGGCCCTGCAAAGAAGATTCTTGGAATGCAAATCACGAGAGATAAGAAAAAGGGAGTTTTGCAGTTATCTCAGGCAGAGTACATCAACCGTGTTTTGCAGAGATTTAA